AGTGTCTCAGTGTCTGCCATAATGTCTCCCAGTGTCCCCTTAGTGTCTCAGTGTATGTCTCCTTGCAGCCTTTCTTCCATCCCTTACTTCCCTGAGCTGTAGGCTGTCTCTGCAGGGTGGGAGTTGCTGTCTGGACTCTCTGTAGCTGCACCCCTGCAGATCAGTGAGTATAGATAGGCAGGGAGGGATATGCTGGAACTTCCTATCCCTGCCTCTCTCCACACACAGCGACCCCTACTGGCCAGTGCTGGTATTGCGGAGTAATCTCTTGTTTATACTGAGAAAAATACCAGCATTTGTATTGCCAGTATCACTGCAATACCAGCACCACCAGGCAGCCCCAAATACTGGCTGTGCCAATAAAATAAAAGTCAGGTGGAATCCCTAAGAGTAGTGTGTGAAAAATAAAATGTAAAAAAAAAAAAAAAATCTTTTTTTTTTTTTTAAATCAATGGGCCTATTCCATGGGCCTGGGCCTGGAGCTGCAGCTCCATCAGCCCCTATGTTAATCCGGCCCTGACTATGTCCCCTGTGATAAATCTTGGTTAAAGGCACTGTTCGTTCCTTTTGGACTTATATGGTTCGGTATACGGAGCTTACCAAACGGATTAGGAGTTTGTGTTCGTATACCCATTAAAGCTCCTCTTCACCCTCAACATAGAGCCTTGTCTCGTGTGGAGGGGACACCTGTATCTCTTCTGGGGATTGCTATATCACTATACTCCCCTGGGATAATAATCACTTGCTCTTTTAAGAGCGTATTGCTGCACTCTCTTGGAGGAGAGGTTTACCCACTGGAAGCTGGATCCTGGTCTTGGGTCCAGGGTGGGTGGAGGACAGCGAGACCCCGACCAAGCTGTAAAGCTGGAAGTGGGGACTACAGTGCTGATTGTGTCTGGTGCGGTGCTTGTGGTACTCGGTAAGCACTAGGAAGCAGCGATTGGCGGAGGCACCCAGGCGGGGTGCCAGGCGCTCTGCCACAAATAACACTTATAAAAACCTAGTAATGCATTTTAGAAAAAGTTGACTATATATCTTTTGACCGAAACAGAGAATATGAGAACTCGGACAAAAGCTTAAAGGAACTCCGTAACTTGCACTTTGGTAAATCCCCGATCAGGTCTCAAAATCGTTTTTGCTCACTTGTGCCGTTACAGAGAGAACCAGTTCCAGTTATATATGCTATCCTAGAGGCAGCTAATTTTGTTCTGTCTAGAAGCTAAGTATCAGGAAGCCTTTCCACTATTATGGTAGGAGGTCACATGCATTTTGTGCAAAATAAAAGCGGTCTTAGTTGCATCTCACTCATAAGGGCAGTCCTGAACCAAAATGCTGGGAATTTCTGTCTGCACAAGAGATACAGCAACCCCAGACAAACATTTTGGTCTTTTTGGGCCTCTTCAGTGAGGTGTAGCTGATACCTTGATCATCTGGGGTTGCTGTATCTCTCGTGCAGAGAGAACTTCCCAGCATATCAGTTCTGGACTGCTCTTATGGGTGGGATCATTTTTTTTTTTTTTTTTTAGGATTTATAAGTTTTTATTGATGTTTTCATCAAATGGTAAGAGGAAAGGGGTACAGAAAGAAAAAAAGGTGGAGGGGATTTAAAACAGTCCAGCAGTTTTGCTTCTTTTCTCTCTGCAAGCAAGCAGAGCATCGAAGTGCACATGCACATACTGTGGAAAAAAATTACCTCGCCACTGGTTTTTGGAGGGGTCTACTTGCCAGCCTTTTACCCTGTGACTATGGCCCCTGCAATAGACCTGGCTAAAATTCTTCAAACAGGCTCTGTTTGACCCTGGAGCTTGTTAACACGTATTAACAACTTGGAACGTTTCTCACCGCAGTGTTCTAATTGTTCGTCTTGGTGGGCGCGATTCCTATGAACAACCTTGAGGTGGCGGCCATCTTGTTCGCATGAACGCAGGCAGCGTGCTTTGGGCATGAATATCATGGAACTAAAATCAGATACAGAAAATCCCGAACACCTCTGGACTTTCATCATCGCCTGCGTTTTGTTTCTGATCAGCTTAGAATGGCACTGTTCTCTGAAACTTTGGGCATGAAACCATGCGTGCAGTCGTTCAAAAAGAGACTTTCAGGTATTTCCTGAACCCCTGCTCTAATCTGGGTGATTTTTGGATATGTTGTTCACCCAAATCAGGGCTATCAGGGGATGTGTTGTGTTTTGTACTTTGGGACTTTATAAAATATGTGGTTTTTCTGCCTGGAGATAATTGAGTTACATACAGTACTTTACTCAGTTATCTCACAGGCAGAGGGGAGAGATTGTATTTTTGTTATGGGGGTGTTTTACATTTAATTACTGTTCTGATTGGTTTGTAAGCTTTGTGTCCCTGTCCCCAACAAGCTCCTTATGAGTGTATCCATTGCTTGGGGACTTGCATAAAAGGCCAGTGTGGCTACCATTAAACCAGACTTACTTCACCCTCAATCAAGAGTTCTGTCTCTTATTGTAGGGAACTGCTATACAACTATCACTACTAGCTCTTGTAAGAGCTTCACTGATACACTCTCTTGGAGCAAGGTCTTTCCCACAAGGTCCTGGATATCAGAGTTTAGTCCAGGGTGGGAGGAAGACGTTGAGACCCCAACCAAGCTGCGGCAGTTTGTGGGGTCTATGGCGCTTATGATGTCCAGTGCTGTGTTTATGGTCCTGATTGGGGTCGCCAAAGACAAAGGGATTGAGCTTTCTAGTTTTTACCGGTTTCCCTCCCAGACCTGTATGGCCAGCTTGATTTGCGTCGGCAGCAGGGGTAAGTGTGGTCTGGAATCCTTAGGAAGCCAAATCAGCTCAGGATGATTAAAAGGTTTAAGGGTTTGGCTTTCTAAGGAAACCCATTGTGGCTTAGATGAAATGTGGTAAAATTAATGCCAGTATTGCCGCGTGGTAGTAAGATTTAACATCTGGGAACGCCATTCCCCCCTTCCTCAGCAGGTCTTTCAATATTCTGATACCCTAGCTCTGCTAGCCCTCCAGACAAATCTAAGCAGGTCAAGGTGTATAGCTTTGAAATAGGATTGTGGCAAAGAAAGGGGAAGGGTGCGGAACAAATATTGGAATCTCAGAATTATAGCCATTTTGATGGCTACTATACGTTCTGGCCAGGATAGGAATAGTGGACCCCATTTCCGTGAAAGTTGTTTACAATCATTCCTTACTCTGGTATAATTAGCATGAAAAATGTCTGTTACTTTTTTAGTGAACGTCAAGCCCAAATATTTCAGGCCATTGTTTCTCCATTCGAAGGGTAGTCTCTACATAGAGCTTCCCGTACCTGGGGAGGGAGGTGAATGCCCAAGGCCTGCCTTTTCTTGCGTTATGGGAGTAGTAGGACATCTCCCCATATTCCTTTATCAATGCTAATATATGTGGTAGAGATTCCTCAGGGCGAGCAACATAGAATAAAATGTCATCTGCGAACGCACTGATTTTTATTTCTCGGCCCTTAAAGTCAATACCATGTATACTGGGATGGTCCCTAATCGCACACAGGAGGGGTTCCAAGGCTAGCACGTAGCACAGAGGGACAAAGGGCACCCCTGCTTAATGGAGTGCGTGTAGTGGCCTCGGACACTAGGTTATGCAGCTTTGAGTAGTATGATGCAAATTCCTGGGTAATGGCTTGGGGATTGAGCTTTTTCTTTCCATTGGCACCAATTATATATGCTATCCTAGAGGCGGCTAATTTTGTTCTGTCTAGAAGATAAGTATCAGGAAGCCTTTCCACTATTATGGTAGGAGGTCGCATGCATTTTGTGCAAAATAAAAGCGGTCTTAGTTGCATTAAGTTCATAAAGTCTTTGGTATAGCGCTTTAAGTTGAGAGGCTAGGCCAGGTGGGGACGCCAGTTTATTACGGGCTGTGATTATTGCTATCTGTTTGTGGCAATCTAAGAGATTGGATTGATGATGTCTTTTAAGGAATGTTGAGCGCCTAATAAAGAAACCTCTGACTACCGTTTCATGAGCCGCCCCCACACAGTTGTTTCGGCGGTGCCCTTGTTGGAATAGCCTTGAAAGTACTCTGTAAAGTCTTTCTTCATTTGTTCCATAAAGGAGTTGTCTTGCAGCATGTCTCATTCAACCTCCAAGTACACTTACCTTTAAATTGGAATTAGTCAAATAGTTCTAGAAACACTGGGCTGTGATCTGACCAAGGAATGTTCCCAATTGTGCATGTAGACATTTGTGCCAAGGTAGTTTGGTCCACATAAAAGGCGTGTATACGTATAGTGGGCCCTGAAGTAAAATTAATAGTCTCTGTCTACCGGGTGGAGCACCCTTCATCCTTCATAGAGATTGTGAAGGGACAGTTGGTTAGTGAGGGATTTGCACAGAGTAGTTAGGTTAGCCTAGCTTTCCTTTTGCCCTGCAGCACGGCTGTGGTATCTAGGGCAGGGGAAGAAATAAAATGAGTCTCCACACAGGACAAGCCCCCCTTGTTAATATTCGTCTATTTTGCATGGCAGGTTGCGAAGGAAGGCCCGGAATTGTCGTTTAGGAAATAAGCCGACACCAGTGTGTATTGGACATTGTTAAAAAAAAACTAAATGATAATAAAACTGGGGGTCAATAAAACTCCTTTGTAATTGAAATGCCGTGTCCCTATGTATAAAGATGGAAAACCCTTTAGTTTTGGAGTCAGAGAGGGCATGGTATTGAGTTGGAAACATCTTCCTGAATATAGCTGGAATTCTTTTTTTTTTTTTTTTTTTAATGCATGCTATATCGACCGCATGCTTCAATCCACGTTTCCCTTGGGGAGTTTAACCCCTTAACATTGGCGGTTGTATGTCACTATTTTCATACTAGTATATATCTACATTCATGTATTGTATGAACCGGGAGTGAGTGGCCTCTTCTGTGGGAGTCCCAAATACAAAGTATTACTATACTTTGTATTTGGGACTCCCACAGAAGAGGCCACTGCGCTGCCTTAGGTTGAGGGGGCCAGGCATGCACCAATAACATAAGGAATGAACGAGGAAACCTCGTCCTCACAGCAACCTGAATCCGTCAAACCGCTGGGAGACGGGTAGGAACAGTAGAGTGTTCTAGAGTAGGAAGAAAGGAATAGAAACAACAGGGCAGAGAGTGTGAGCCTACGTGCGCCACCAAGGGCTGTAGGACAGCTAGTGGGGGTCGTGGAGGTGAGACTCTCTATCATAGAGGATACCTCACAGGTGGAAACAAAACAGAGCAAATACATGAGTACAACCATGTACACATCAACTCAAGTGGAACAAAAATGAGAGCAGATCGGTGAGAGATTAAGAAACACCATTTCACCTCGCCATCTATGCTACTTGCGACCAGTGAACAAGCCGCCTAATCTTTTTTATTTTTAAATATAATTTTAATTAGGAACTACATCATCAAAGAGAAAATAACCTGTTAAACCCCCTCCGATATGGGGGGAGGGACCCCATGTTCTATATAAAGGTTCCAGTAAGCCGCATAGTGGGCAGAGTCATCAACTAACCATAGTACGCTGTCTCCATCTAACATAAAGAACCTTGTGTGATGTTACACCTATCCCATTAACTACCAAAGGGCATAGGGCAATACTAGAATAGGTCAAGCAGATTCATAGAACATTCAGGATAAAATTATAAAGCTAAATGCAAAAACCAGTGGCTAGCAATCATACTTAGCTACACATATCTTGGTGAAGGTGTCACCCTCCTAATCAACAGTCCACTCGGGAGATATCCTGGGAACCTTGGCAGGCCTGGTGACTGCAACCTCAGGTACCGGCATGCCCCAATCCTTCAGCTTCTGGATACCCTGTGCCAAGCTTGTGACGATATGCAGTGCGTCCTGGTGAAAAATAAAGAGTTTAGCAAGGTATCCCCATCTGTAATTCAGTTCGTGGCTGTGGAGTGTTGAGGTTATGGGCACCATCGATTTCCTGAACTACAGCGTCTCTGCGGAGAGGTCCGCAAAGACCTTGATGTTGCTGTATTTTTCCGGCATATCTGTATTCCTACATGTGCGGGCTATCTTCTCCTTGACGTGGAAGAAGTGGATCCTCGCACTTACATCCCTTGCTGTGGTTGTAGGTAGATGTTTCAGCCTCCTCAAATGATGGGCTCTATCCATGATAAGTTGTTTGGGGTGGATTTCAGGAGTAAGAGTTTTGAACAGGTCCAGAAGGTAATTGTTCAGTTCCGCGTTGGTCACCGATTCCGGTATACCTCTAAAGCGTAGGTTGTTTCTCCTGGAAATGTCCTCCCTGTCAGCCAACTTAAGCCTGTGAGCTAACAGGGTATCATCAAACTCTTAGAGCTTATCTGCCAGGCTGTTGTGGGCAACCACATACTCTTTCAGTTTGAGGCCTCCCAGCAACACCAGCGTTCAGTCGCTGAATTCCTTGGCCACAATGTTCAATCGCTGAATTCCTTGGCCACACTGTTTTCAAGACGCTAACACCCGAAGCTTTAGAGGAACTAGAGCCGCCATAGAAGAACTGACAGAAGCTCTAAAACTTTCTAAGCCCCGACAGTCTACTGTTAACTTACCTGCACACCTTCCAGGAGGTCGTGCTACCTAAACTCCTCAAGGGACTTAACTCTATCCACTCAGACAGACAATTTCTGATGGACTCCCTCGCCGAGGTTGTAACAGTTATACCAAAAGAAGGCAAGGACCCAGCAAGCTGTGCCCTATCTCACTCCTGAATGCGAACTTAAAACCGTTTGCAAAAGCCATGGCCCTACGACTCTTGAGAGTCCTCCAAGGTCTGATCCACTCCGACCAGGTGGGATTCATCCCAGGTCGGGAGGGACGGGACAACACCATTAGAGCCCTTAACATCATCCACGCTGCCCAGACAACCGGGAGAGTGGGGGTACTTCTCTCCACTGACGCCAAAAAAGCGGTTGACCGGGTAGACTGGCTCTACCTCACGTCCACACTCCAACACATGGAGTTTGGCCCTCACATGCTCTCAAGGAAACGATCCCTGTATACCACCCCTACAGCCTGAATCCGCGTCAACGTTGCGTTTACGCCCCCAATCTGGAACTGAATACACCAAGGCTGTCCTCTGTCCCCCCTCCTGTTTGCACTATCTCCAGCCGTTTCTAGAGGCGATCAGACGGGATGGAGGTATCACAGGGTTCACTTTGGGACAGCGGGTCGCAGGCGACATGCTCTTTTTTTCTAGAACAGCCAGCAATATCCCTGCCCAATCTTTTGGCAGCCTTTAAGCGGTTCGGACTGATATCTAATGTAAAACTTCATATGGACAAATCAGGCACTCCATCTCTCACTTAACCCCGACTCCACCGCCTGTCTGTGCTCACACTTCCCCTTCGCATGGTGCGAAAGTAAACTTAGATACTTAGGCATCCGGTGACCATGAGACCTCTCCCTACTGTACCAAATTAATTTTCTCCTCCTACATACATTAATGCAGTCAAGATGAACGTCATGCCACGCATATTATATCTATTCCAGACCATACTCTCCGGCAGTGAATAGCAAAGGTAGAGGATGTACATTCAATGGAAACACTGCCAGCTTCCCTGTGGGGCCGCATTGAGAAATGTGTCCAGACCTGGATACCCCGGCTCATCTTAATTTCAGAGCTACTGCGACTGCTCCAGGGCCTATACACCCTTGCAACAGTTAGACAAGAACGTACCTAGGCAATTACTGGAACCTCATGATCTACGATATATATAAATAGAATAGTAAAGTTTTTATTTATTTATTTTTTCTTCTCCCTCTCTCTCACCCTCATACTCCTACCTCCTTCCCCCTTCTTCCACCACTTCACCCTACCTTAATACACATATAATCATCCAACCGATAAAACAAGATACCGTAGACCCTATTAATCGGCACTAACGACCACACTGTAACCTAGTCTCATTAATACATTTATGAATCAGTCAATAGCACTAACCAATGGCTGCTTACAGACATGACAGGAGACCACCACAAACAAAAACCACTATCTCCCCCGATAGACATAAAACGACAGTATATCACTGCCCAAGTTTACAAAACTTTAAATGAAGAGCGATGACGAAGGGAAAGGAATAATGAGGAGGGAATGAGAAGGGGAACATATGAAAGAGACAGTAAATGGGAAAGAGAAGGGTAAACATAGAAAAAGAGAAGGGAAGGTATAGGCTTCCTCTAAAGATGCAATATGAAATACTCGTTTACTATGCTTTGTCCGCATTTTGTGATCCTCTAACCATACATTTTATGATATTTACTGCCTTTCTAAACGAACTGTAAGAAAGTGGAAATGAAAAGTTGTAACCTGTTGAATACTGACAAAATAATGATTGTCAAAAAAGAGAATATGGGGCTATGTTTATAATAGATTGTCCGCAATTATGCAATTTTTACATCTAGTTTATAACTAACTCATTTGGTAATTTTGTGTCTTGTTTTAATATTTATTAAACTGCACGCATTATTCTTAGTCAAGGATGACCAACACTTCTATTCAACAAACATTAATTAATTCTAAATATTCAAAAGTGCATTTCTATTGATGTAGCAGTATACCAAAATGGAAGTCTTTTTTTTTTTTTGCCCTTCTCTGCTTTGTTTTCAGCTTTTGAATGTACAATCAAACTGTCCTTGTTAAATAACCATAAATAGTTTTTTTTTGCATTTGATTTTTTTTCTTTATTGCATTGGATTTGCAATGTATCTATGTCCTTGGGAATTTAGCATTCTTACCTGTAACATAACTTGCTGTTTCATTGCACTATTTTAACACGTTAAATGATCTTTTGCTGGTGTTTTAAGACTGAATCATTCACATCTGAGATCTCAATGGAAAACAGTGTGCCCTATGTGCCTGTCCATCTGAGCCCATGGTACGAAGGCACTGGTAGTGTAATAATGAAAATAGGCTTGGAAATGCTTGCTGGCAATGCTTATATTGATTGCTCGAAGACTGACCATGTTTTTATGTTTCACTTTCAGTGTGAAAAACTCAAACTACTGCCTTCCTTCATATGCTGCTTACAAGAACTATGAATACTCAGAGCCAGGAAGACACAACGAACAGCCAGGACTGTGTGGGCTCAGTAATCTGGGGAATACGTGTTTTATGAATTCTGCAATTCAGGTAACAAATCAAGCAATATTTTTTATTTAAAAATGAATTATTTATTCATTTGACCTGCTGTTTATATGAATACATTTTTATATTTTAATGTATGTTATGTGCCTATATAGTTAATATTTGTGAGATTAAAGTAGGGGTTTTTTACTATTATTTTTTTTTTATTATGTTAAAGGATGTTTTCGCATCTATTGGTCAAGTTTTTTTTTTTATTATTATTATCGGTGTTGGTTTCTATAGTTGTTCAATCTTTCACTCTGATAAACACTTTAAAGGACCACTCTAGGCACCCAGACCACTTCAGCTTAATGAAGTGGTCTGGGTGCCAGGTCCAGCTAGGTTTAACCCCTTTTTTCATAAACATAGCAGTTTCAGAGAAACTGCTATGTTTATGAATGGGTTAAGCCTTCCCCTATTTCCTCTAGTGGCTGTCTCATTCGGCGCATTCAGCCGACGGGGAGGAGAGAAGGAGGATCGGAAGAGGAGAGCTCTCCCTCCAGCGCTGGAAAAAGGTAAGTTTTTACCCTTTTCCCCTTTCCAGAGCCGGGCGGGAGGGGGACCCTGAGGGTGGGGGCACCCTCAGGGCACTATAGTGCCAGGAAAACGAGTATGTTTTCCTGGCACTATAGTGATCCTTTAATCTTATATCGGGACAAGGAGTGAAGCAGAGGTAAGTATAAAACACACTTACCTTTCCAGCTTTTCCATAACGCTCTGCAGGAACCCTGACTCAGGCATCTACTTGGAAAGTGACAAACGAGTGCAGGTACAAGCTGTACATGGCCCTTAACATATGCATGCATCCTCACTGCATTATTGGTGAAATTTGCTGTATAATATAAAAAAAGAAAATAGCACAACCAATGGCTATCTGTCTGTTAGCATTTGGGTTGTGCTAAGATCAGGGATTTACTACTTTATAAAGTTGAAGATTGCAAACTATAATGTTACTATAGTGTTTTTATTATTTTGGGAGGTGGGGGAAAGGGTCTGTTTTCTGTTTTTGGCTTTTGTTTTTAATCGAATTTGGTTAAGCATTTTTATCCTAAAGCCTTTTGCTTCCACTAAATGTGTGATGATAATGATTAGTTGTGTGTTTGCCAGTTGTTTATCTTAAAGGATCACTATAATGTCAGGAAAACAAACTCGTTTTCCTGACACTATAGCATCCTTAGGACCCCCCACCCTTGGCGCTGAAGGGGCTAAAACCCCTTCAGCTACTTACCTTAATCCAGCGCCAGGCTCCCTCGGCTCTGGTGACCTCTCCTCCCCCGCGGACGTCAGCTCCCGAGTGGAGTGGATTGTGCATGCGTGGCAAGAGCCGCGTGCCTTCAAACAGTTCATAGGAAAGCATTTCTCAATTTTCGCATCCAGCATCGGGGAAGCACCTCTAGCGGCTGTCAGGAAGACAGCCACTAGAGGTTGGATTAACCCTGCAATGTAAACATAGCAGTTTCTCTGAAACTGCTATGTTTACATCTGAAGGGTTAAAGCCTGGGGAACCTGACACCCAGACCACTTCATGGAGCTGAAGTGGTCTGGGTTACTATAGTGTCCCTTTAAGTGAATATTCGGTCTGCACAACCCTCTGGCTCACATAGTATTCCTAAGTCATTTTAACCAATAGGTTCAAATTTAAAACAAATTGTTCATCTCTAGAAGCAATATTAAAAACAAAATGCTGTAATGCTCTGTTCAAACACATGTGCTTCTTTGTGTAGGCATGTTTTGCTTTCATTATTGTCCTCATAGTTAGCTCAAATTCCAAATGTAACAAATATTTGCTCATCCATCTCAAATTCACAGCAACATGCCTGTCTGTTTTAAAAATAATTGTATATTTTATGAGTATTATGTCAAATAGGTATACAACTGCTATTGTTTATTTTTAATAGGCTGCAGAATGTTTGGTGAGTATTTTAAAAAGATTATTGTAGCTACTAGAGAGATTATTTATTCTTCCTTTACGTTTTTGAAACTGCAAATTACTTTGAGAGTATTACTATTACTATTCCTTTTTAAGAGTAAGCTAAAAGAAAAATATACATACAAAGGCATTAAAGGGATCCTATAGTGCCAGGAAAACAAAGTCGTTTTCCTGGCACTATAGAGTTTATAGGTCCCCCCCTTTCTCGGGGCTCCTCTCCCGTGGGGTTGAAGGGCTTAAAACCCATTCAGCCACTCTCCTGAATCCAGTGCCGATGTCCCTCGGCGCTGGGTCAGGCTCCGCCCATGCTTCTCCTGCCAACATCAGCCGGCGGGGGAGACCTAATGCACATGTGTGGCAATGGCTGCATGCACTTTAGACCTCCCTATAGGAAAGCATTATTCACTGCTTTCCTATGGGGAAAATCTGACGCTGGAGGTCCGTGAGGACTTCCAGCGTCAGATAACGGACCAAAAGTCCATTTGAATTCTGGAAGCCCTCTAATGGCTGTCTGTTAGACAGACACTGAGGGCAGACCTAGAGCTGCAATGTAAACATTGCAGTTCTCTGGAACTGCAATGTTTAACATTGCAGCACTAAGTGCAAAAGGGTCACAGCACCCAGACTACTTCAATTAGCTGAAGTGGTCTGGGTGCCTACTGTGTCCCTTTAACTGCTACAATGTCTCTTAAGTGGGTATGGCACTTGGAGCCTTTGCTTAATTTCCAAATACAGTAAACAGAAGTTTTCCTATTTTGTTTTCCTGATAATTACCATAGATTTGGAACATGTGTAACAATGTTTAAACTGAAACTTTATACATGTTCACACTGATCACTCTATTATAAACATAACATTCACTCCTATTTGTCTGCTAGTATATTATAAATCAGACATGTTAATCCTAAAATGTTCTCTATTTGCCCCTTTTCATATCTGAAGGCACGTTATTCCTTTTGTAAACCTGTAAATGTTTCATTGTACTGACTGCACAGGCTTCAAAGCATGAGTGTTTCAAGGGTTACTCCAAGCACCACAAAAACTTCAGTGAAATGGAGCTTGGAGTTTGTATCTGCAGCATTTCAGTATGAAACACTGCACATTTAGACATATTTTATATTGCGGTTGTCAGTGTAACTCCACCTCTGGCAGCATAATTTGTACATCATTAGCCAGCCCAGAACAAGAGTTCTAGGTTAGCTAATTTCAATTCTGTTCATATTTCATTGCACAGAGGCTCATTCATTGGTGAGTTTTGTCAGCCAATGATTGATCGGCTCCTTGTGCTTTGGAGCTCTCTTGATATGCATACTGTCCATCTCACTTTACTTTAAGCAGTAATTATATAGGTCATAGCTAGAATGAAGAAAATAGTTCCTCTTTGCCGATGTTTAGTATTTTGTGTGGTCATGTGAAAAGAAATTGCATAAGAAAAGTTAATATTTCTGGTGTTTCATATTTTTTTGCCAAGCTATTTTTTTTTTTGTTTAAATTGAGCAGTGAGTAAAGTTTCATCGGTTCTTTGCACAATTGAAAGCTTACAAATACAATGCTGAAATGTGTTATGTGTTACAGTGGGTTTTGGAAGCAGCAGAATCTTGTTAAAGTATTCTGTGACACACATGATATACAATATATGTGTCTTTAAATGCATGTAGCATTAATACATTCATTTTGCCAGTCTGTTAACCATATAAAAAAAACCTAATCGGATTAAAATGTTGAAGTATTTTCTTTTCTTCTAGTGTTTGAGCAATACCCCACCACTGACTGAATACTTTCTCAATGACAAATATCAGGAAGAGCTGAATTTGGATAACCCTTTAGGGATGCGAGGAGAAATAGCCAAGTCTTATGCAGATCTCATCAAACAAATGTGGTCAGGGAAATATAGCTATGTAACCCCGCGAGCATTTAAGGTGGGTAGTACTTGTATTTCAGCATTGTTATAATATGTTAAAGAACCACTATAGTGTCAGGAAAACAAACTAGTTTTCCTGGCACTATATAACCCTCATGACCCTCCCTCCGGCTCAATGCTTTCCTATGGATGTTCTGCGTGCTCAATGCGATTTTCGCATTGAGCTTCACAGAAGTGCCTGTAGCGACTGTCAGGAAGACAGCCACTAGAGGCTGGATTAACCCTGCTATGTAAACATAGCAGTTTCTCTGAAACTGCTATGTTTACAGCTGCAGTGTTAAAACCTGGGGGACCTGGCACCCAGACCACTTCATTGAGCTGAAGTGGTCTGGGTGACTATAGTGGTCCTTTAACGTTTGAATGTTATTGTATATGTACAGCATTTTTACAGTGTGCATTTTTAAGACCTTTTGAGTAAATGAAGCAATATAGCTTAACTTATTTTTAAAATGAATTTAAACATGTATTATCAATATTATTGATCTTTCCCATAATATATTTCTAAAACCCTTGTTTTCTGTGAATGTGTACAGCCATTAATTAGAATTAGAATTTTAGTAATACGGTATATTAAAAACAAAACTCTTTTTGTATGTTCCTTTTTCAAGACACAAGTTGGGAGATTTGCACCTCAGTTTTCGGGTTATCAGCAGCAAGATTGTCAAGAATTGCTTGCTTTCCTGTTAGATGGCTTACACGAAGATTTAAACCGAATTCGAAAGAAGCCTTATATCCAATTGAAAGACGCAGATGGCAGACCAGACAAGGTAGTTCTCATACTACTGCTTTAAAAAAATATTTCTGTGAAATGCTTTACTTCACCTTCATTTATTCTCCAGGTATAATATTTAACAGCCTATACTCCAGATTATAATTAGCAGCCTGTACAGAAATGGTTTTCACTGCCAGGAACCAGTTCCACTAATTTAAAGGCACTGAATTGGTTATTATATGAGGATTAGCTTGGCCCCATTTCCTGCTAATGGGGTAAATAGTTTGTCAACAGTCTCCTACCTGGGTCTCTGCCAGGCGCTGAGAGTCCTATGTGGTCGGTGACATGCATCCAGCATCTGCAGAAGTGATTTATAGTGAAGGGGTTAAGAAAGGAATCATGAATATAAGGACATTGTAATGATGTTTGTCAAACCCTAAATGTTATCAAATTTTCAGTTTTCTGGTTTTTTTTTTTTCTCTTGAGTACAATTGCAGATACCACTAAAATACTGCCAAAATATAAAGACTCCCATATATTGTGGTGGTGAACACAGTGCTATCTTTTTTGTCGTTGTATTTATTAGTTGATACCAATCCAAGATGATGAAAATGTGTAAAACTAATGGATGGATGTCAGAGGAGTGTGTGAAGTTTGTCTCTTTTAGACTTTGACAACTCATTATCCTCTTTTAATTATAACCTAAAACTCTGGGTGTAGCTAAGAAAAAGAAAAACGTATCACAAATATAGGGTTTACGTATAGATGGTGAGCTAGAACAAACATATCCTTACTTTACTATGCACTTGGGCCAGTCTTGCCATTTTATTATATATTTGCCTATTTTTTGTGTCTCTCTATGCAGCATGTTGAAGTCCCACTTACATTATCGGTATATCTTTATTTATCGACTGTGAGAGCTCATTTGGGAAGAATATACTCTCAGCATCAAACATTTCAAGTGTGGTTTTTAAAATTAAAAAAAAAAAAAGATTTTTCCTTTATATTCCTTTATATTTTTTTTTTGTTCTTTATTACATTTTAGGTAGTTGCTGAAGAAGCGTGGGAGAACCATATAAAAAGAAATGACTCCATCATTGTTGATATATTTCATGGGTTGTTTAAATCTACCCTCGTATGTCCGGAGTGTGCTAAAATATCTGTCACGTTTGATCCGTTTTGTTACTTAACTCTTCCTCTACCGATGAAGAAGGAGCGCAGTCTGGAAGTATATTTAGTTAGAATGGATCCACTTTCCAAACCTATGCAGGTAAGTATAGCCCGCTCACTGTTCTTGTATTCTTCTATTTTTGGTTTGATGCCTACAGTTTTAATATAGTTTTCATTTCAATGTAATTAAATTGTGAGCAATGCTTTACATTTATTGATGTCACCTGACCAGTTAAATATTATTTTGCTACCAATGGTGTCTTCACAATGTGTGAGGTTGTTTAAGGGTGCAAACATATACCATTTTTTATTATGTTTGTAATGAGGATAGTTATAGTGATATTGACTCACAATTAGTCAATAATGTTGCAAGCAGTCGTCTAATATATAATTCCAAATTGGGGGACATTTAAGCAAGGCAAAACCAGTCTCATTCAAGGTGCTAAATATTGGAAGCTTCTGTCTGTTACCATAGTGAATGGTCGTTATTTAACAATTTGCAATAGAATAGTACTTGTTTTCGATTACATTTGTAGAAGCTGTAACTCCATGGCAATGGTTTAAAAGGATTCTTTATAAAAAATATAATATAGAATAAAAAGTTGCATTCCTCACATTATAGAGCCTTCTGGCCCAGACCCCACTCCCGGCATGGAAAGGGATAAAAAAAACAAAAAAAAAGACTTTTTAATACTTACCCGATTTCAGCTACAATCTCCCTGCTCCAGTGCTTTCCTATGGGGATTTTACCGACTCTGGATGTCCTCATGCAGAGCGTGAGGACTTCTAGCATCAGGCGACCAAATGTCGGTTATTCACCATGAAGTGTCTCTAGTGGCTCTCTGAAAACCACTAGAGGCAGTCTTAGTCCTGCAATGTAATTGTTGCAATGATTTACATTACAGGACTAAGGCGGACTGGGACACTGCACCCATGCCACTTCGATGGACTGAAGTGGTCTGGGTGTCTATAGTGTTCCTTTAAGTGTGTGTTTGAAAATGTTGACCTGCCAATTTGAATGAACATGGGCTTACTTTTCAGGAAAATAATTATCATTGCTCACATTTAAATTGGTTATTAGAATAATATGAATCATATATGGCAGTGATCCTTTTGAAACACAACACACAACATTTACAATAAACATATGTAACATAAAAGAATAGTTGATAGTATGAAACCACTTATTAGAAAGCAGTATCTTTATTGTGTTAAGGTGAAGCAAAGCTTTACCTTTCATGCACCTCTACTTGTTTGTTTTTTCAAGGTAAAATATGTTAGCCAGCTGCATTATTTAGAAAGACATTAGAACACTCTAACTACAGGAGCTTAAATAAAACTAAACTACTTTGCTAAAATCTGGATTGTTGTCACCATATTTCTAATATTAAATGGAGCCCCAAGCAAGTTATTGCAATTTGTCTTGAATTTGACTCCCCAGCATTGTTTACATCTAGTAAGGCAGAGACAAAAGTCACATTGATTCTAATGAAAAGTG